GACAAAATTTTGTTTTGCCAAAGCCATTCCAAATCATGAATCTTTAACTATTGCAAAAACATTAATGAATATATTTACCCAATTTGGAATACCACAAACCTTCTTGACAGACCAAGGCCCAGATTTCATGTCCGAATTAATAAAGGACCTAGGAAATTTATTAAAAACAAGGCACATCTGCACAAGCCCATATCACCCCCAAACCAATGGAGGTCTAGAAAGATACCATTTAACACTGAAAGATTATTTAAAACATTATATAAAAGTCAATCAAACAGACTGGGACGAATACATTCAATTTGCAACCTTTAGTTATAACACTTCAATTCACAGATCCACTAACTTAACACCATACGAACTTCTCTTTGGACGAAAAGCATATCTACCCTCTTCCATACTGAAAGAACCAGAATTCCATTATACCTATGACGATTACATCCGTTCATTACAAAATAAACTAAACACCTCTTTCAAAACAGCAAGAGAAAATCTAATTAACTCAAAAAATAAGAGTAAGGAACACTACGATAAGAAAATTAACCCGATAAAATTTAAAATCAATGATCTTGTATGTATATACGAAAAACGAAACAAGATAGGCCTTAGTAAAAAATTATCGCCCAATTTCAAGGGTCCATTCAAAGTTACACAAATACATCCTAACAACACAGTAGAACTCCAAATAGGAAAAAAAAGAACTACTCATCACTCTAACCTTCTCAAACGTTATGTTCCAGATGATTCCGACAATTCTGCTGCTATTCCTTCTAATTCCTAATACCACCTCCGAGACACTATACACTAATACACCCCTCATCGACACGAGTGGAATTTTTTAAAGGAAGTTAGGAGAAGCGAAAATCTCGAACACCGAACTACATCTCATAACATATGTCAATATGACTTATCTATCTCAAGCGAAAGCTCTCTAGATTCCCATTTTGTTAAATCGCGAGAAATTTGTAAATTATTATTAAAAGAAGTCGTAGTAACGAAACAACGAAAGTCTCATTGTGAGCAAACCCTACAGTCTGTTCAAAACGAATTGCGAAATATAGATGACAAAGAAAAAATACTTAATGGATTAATAGGACACGATGTAAAGCAACGTAAACGACGTGGATTAATTAATGGAGCGTCTTATATTTTAAATTGGCTAATTGGCACCCCGGACGCTGACGATGCCCAATATTACTCCAATAGCATAAAAGCCTTATTAAATGATAACAGGCAAACTCAAACCCTATTAAAATCTCAGATACAGATAGTTTCGAGCACTATAAAAAATTTTAATAACTCAATTCAGTCTTTAAAACTTACAGAAGACACCTTGAACAGCAACATGAAAGTGATTAATAAATATATGACAGAAACAGATAACCATATTATAAACCTCGCGTTAGAAGCAACCATCATGGAACAAGTTGCCACCTTACTTTCTCTATGCATTCAAGTCTCAGATCATTTTGATAAAAACATAGAATCCATTAACTTAGGAAATCACAACATAATTTCCCCATTCTTAATAACTCCAAAGGATCTTTGCGAGGAACTGACTAATTACAAAGGTGAATTTGAGCTAATAATCACACCGACCTACAAGAATTTACCTAAGATATACAAATTAATGAAACTCCACAGCATTACGATAAACGAACTCGTAGTATTTGTTATAAAATTACCACTCGTAAAAAGAACAAATTTTGATCTATACAACCTGATTCCATTACCCATTCAACATCAAAACACCTCTATCTTCTCGTTCATCACTCCTCAAACCCCGTACCTACTCCTTTCCCAGCAAAAATCCAACTTTGCCGTCCTGTCGAATTTGAAAAGCTGCGTTGAATATCTGGAAGGGAAGTACGTGTGCAGCAACGTAAACTCAGCTAGAACCACAGAAGAGTCCACTTGCGAAGTCTTGCTGCTGTCACCGCATGTAAAGCAAATACCACAGGACTGCTCAATAAAAACAATAAGTGCCGAAATGGAGATATGGAACTACATTGGAAGCAACCAGTGGCTGTATATCCTGCACAAGCCGACTACACTCACAATCATCTGTGGTGAGAACAACAACGATCACATGGAAGACATTGTTCTAAAAAAAACTGGCATGATACAACTACACAGTGGTTGCAAGGGGTATACCATGCTATATTCGTTGGAACCCACAAATTACGTAACTAAAAACATCAGTCATTACGTTCCTCGAATCAACTTAACCGAAGACGATTGTTGTATTCTAGCAAAAAGCTATTTACACCATAAAACTGCATCATCCCTGAAACCTATAAAACTCACAAATATCGATCTAAACGAATTAAAGTTCAACAGCAAAAAACTCAATGATCTCGACGGACTACTAACCCATCGTCTGAAGGAGCCATTTATCGTTACCCATACAAATTGGTACACGATAACCCTAGGAGTAGTAGCCGCCATTCTAATTCTCATCCTTTGTGGAAACTGTTGTCGCTGGTTTGGCTGTTGGAACCTGCTCAAGCGCCTCTGCTGCTTCACCAGAAGCCCCAGAACAGGGGAAATCGTGCCACCAATAATTAAAAATTTTGTTCACTGTAACTTCGATTCAAGCAGTCATAGTGAACACAGGGACCATTCTAACGACATGGTCCTGTTTGAAAGGCGCGGAGGGGAACAACGTTCCTCGGAACAAACAACATCTACTAGCGTCACCGAGGAGAGGACCATGGACCAGCAACAACCCAGAGCCAACCCATACAACCTACGATCCAAGAATGGACCACGAACGCGAAAAAGTTCAACTCCTTTGTAAATCTTTCATCAAATTACTTTAGTATATTTATATATGTATATTTAAATATGTAAATCATCTATCATTATAATATTTAAATTAAGCTCACACATATGTATAAAATTTCGTATACAATATTTAATTGTAAGTTACAATAGTCACCGGCCAAACTAAGAATGCTAGATCGCCAAAATCCTCATCCAAAAATTATATATAATTATATATAATCTTTGGACTAAAAGGAGGGAGGTGTTGTATGACTAACTCATAAGCCAACATAGATACCGCACTAGAATCATCCTTACACAAACATCCCAGTCATAGGTTCCAAACTCCAGCCTTTCTAGCCTCCTGTACCCGCTTACTCATCCTGTACCCGGTTACTCATTCCGTACGCCACCATTGTCACCCTCAAATATATAAACGACGCACATTTTTGGACTCAGGTCAGATCTCTGTAGTTTGTACTAACGTGCGGAACTTGCCGTAACGATCGAATAAAACCACCAGTCTCTCTAGTAAAGTGTTGTTCTTAATCCCGCAACCCGGGATCCAACAAAAGAATCAAGTTTTATTTTGAAAACACCCACACTCATTTATCCTGATTTCTTACACATACGAGGGCTGTCCTAAAAGTATCCAACCTTCTTTCATATCTTCGCGCTTGACAATTTTAGCATCCTTTACCGGATACGAATATCAACTGCAAAGCTTTACGAACTCCTTCGATGCCGCAGTTTTCGTCGGAGCGCCTTAGTTTACGTGCAGTGTGCGTTTGTTTACAAAGTGTCTTTTACGTTCATCGTATTTTGCTATTGTAAGAAATGACGGAGAGATCGGAGCAACGAATTTGCATCAAATTTTGCTTAAAACGCGAAAAGAGTTGTGCGGAGACCACCAAAATGAGGCACATCTGTTGATAGTAACTCAGGCTCTGGCCGGCCTTCGACGACAACAACACCGGATAATATTGAACGTGTTCGACTTGCGATCAACGAAGATCGTCGATTGATTATCTTGAAGTTATGAAAAGATTGTGTGACGCAATTAAAAGAAAACGGCCTCAGCTTTGGTCAAGCGGTGACTGGCTTCTTCATCATGATAACGCGCCAGCGCATGTATCGAATCTCGTGCAGCAATATTTGACGAAGCACAAAGTCGTACAGCTCCGTCAGCCTCTGTACAGTCCTGATGTAGCTCCCTGCAACTTTTGGCTGTTTCCAAAATTAAAAATGCCGCTCAAAGAACACCGATTCGACGACAAAGAAACAGTCGAAACTAATACGACAAACGTTCTAAAGGTTATGCCAAAAAACGAGAGTGCCAGGACTGCTTCTGTGGCCCTGCTTTGCTGCGAGTAGGAACTCGGGAAATTCATTGGAGCGTATTCTTCAATCAAATGGGAACTACTTCGAAGGATGCCAGTAGCCCGATGACGCAGTATAACACCAACGGGGAAATATGAAGGAAGGTCGGATATTTTTGGGACAGACCTCGTATACAATGTATCGATAACGACCGGTGTCAAGTTACGCTCGACACTTACGTGCTACTTAAGTGGGCACTACTATATCATGGACGATTTTGGAAACAATAGTGGCGATAAGAAGAAACAATTTTATGATTTAATGTTTTCTGATACGATGGAAGGTATTAAGGAGTTTATTGGATTCACAATCGATTTTGTTACTTATAGAGATCTCATTTTATCCTGCAATTTACATATAAACAATTTTTTCGTATCATCAACAGTTATTAAAATATCGCGACTGTCACACTTTAGCGTGGACACCCTGTATATGTTCATAGCCTAGTCTCCATAGGTTTTTAAAGGGCAATGATTACAAATAAAATTCTATTGCATGATTAGCAGTATTTAGGCGTAAATTTAATGTATTCCATTTTATAGAAATGAATTCAGGAGGGAATAAAAAAAAGGTACGAAAGATGTAGACGTTTTAATATACGTCCGTATCGATTGACCAAATATCTATCTACATGTATCGTATTCTATAGTTGTCAAAGAATTTAAAGAACTCGTCATACGAACGATTATAGTTTGAAGTCTACAAACATTACAAATAATCCATTCTTTCTTCGTTTTATGTAATTCAAATTGATACGTAATTATGTAGATTAAATAGATTTTTTTACAAAATATGTAGGTATAAATTTATTCATTTATTCGTGATGCTGGCATATAAAAGTAACGTAATGCTTTCAGCAGTTTAAGAAAATGTTCGAAACGCTCACGGAGTTATACCCATCTGTGTGGGATGAATCAGAGACCAAGAAATGGAAAAAGACAGCACGCGAGATCCAGCAAATGTTCTATTTAACTTTCGAAGGTAAACAATGGGACGTTTACCAAAAAAAGGAATACGAGTTATTACGCACAAAAGTTTGTTATGCTTTATTTGGTCCTCCAAAGGATGCAAACGACAACTTTAGCAATATCGAAAACGCGTATGATAAAGATAGACGTGATTCAGGCGACAAAATCAAAGACAAGATCATAGAAGTGCACAAAAATCACTCGGGCTGTAAGTCGTTGCATGTTGGCATTATTTTCGTATGTTGCAAGCAATACGATAAGCAATTTTACATTCCGATATTTCGTATACGTATAAACGAAACAACAGAAGAAAGCTATTACGTCGATACGAATTTCCGCGTGTACCAATCTTGGAACGATTGGAAAGAAAACAATAAACTACCAATGTTGTTATATTGTTATCCAAAGCCAGGCTTTTACACGTGTTCTAAGGGCAGCAGGTACAAATTCGATGAGAAAGGCGATGTAACTTTGGAAATCGGTACATCGCCAGCTTGCGATCTGAGTTCGCGTATAGGAAGAACACTGGATTTTACTAGTGGAGTGTCTGGACTTATCGGAACAGGGGTTGGAGTGGTTTCTTTGTTTACTCCACTGGCTCCTCTCACGCTTACAACCATGGGAATAGCTAGTACAACAAGCGCGGCATACGGAGCCGTGAGAAGCGTCCAACAGTTGGTAGACAAAGGAACTCACGACGAAAGTCTGCTCGATATGGAATCAATGATGTGCGCATTGAACGTAATTATGCTACCTTTACACATAGGAACAAGCGTAGTCAATGGTAAATTAATAGCCGGTGCACGAACAGGACGCACTTTTACATCCTTGCAACGAGTTGGTGCAACTTTCTTGAATATAACAGCTGTAACTATAGATGCTTCCGCAGTATTAATCGGACTTAAAACTTTGTACGATAAGAAGCAGGAGGGAACATTGCAACCATTGGACGTCTTGCAGTTTTCTATATCCGTATTTTTCTTTTCACATACGCTTATACAGCCAAAAACAGCAAACGGAATTATCAAGAAAGCGCAAGCCCAATATTTTCAAGAGTATAAGTCTCAGATGACCGATGCTGTTGCACAGGAAACTTTCCAGAAATTTATCGACGACAATCATAAGAACATAAAGAGTGGTGCGAATATTACCAGGACTATTAATACTATCTATGATCCTGAAACATTTTTCAAATCAGTTGGGCCCGAGACTTCTATCAAAATAAACGACAACACTGAGGGAATCTTCATCATTAACGATGAACTGAAAATAAATCCTAATCGGTGAGCATGTGAACATCTTTCGTCTCATTTTTATAATATGTTTATTTTGGGGAACGTTTCTTTCCTAAAATCATATTATCTTTTGATAGTTTTGCTGTTTTATTCTCCTAATTAAAATATTTCTTTTTTCCTAAAATTAAAAATTCAGATTTAACCAAATCAGACCGGATAGGATAAAAGAGTTGTTGAGGGCCACGAAAATGGATAAGAACCATCCACAATATGGAAAATATTCTAATGAAATTATGAAAAACGAACGTATAGCTTTGAAAGTCAGGCGCCAAGAAACTCTGGTTAAGATGGCAGAGGTATTTGGAACGGACCCAGACGGCTTGAAGAACTTTAAAATAAACAACAAACCGATATTCGCAGATCTAACAGGTGCTGAGATAGATCGAATGCGGACAGTGTTCAGCGATACAGCGAGGAATTACAATAAAGATATCATTTATGCCGCCGCCGCGGCAGCGAAAGAATTAGGCTGCCATGACGTTCATACATTCGGTGCTATCATTGAATTGATTGCATTAGAAAGTCGCGGTACAATCAAACAACGTTAGACTCGCTTTTGAAATCATCATAGACGTTAATTTTATGCCTCTTTCTTTTTTTTAGGAAAATCCAGATCACAGTATCGTTCATATTTGGCGGAATTTCAAAAAAATCCCGATACCAGAAAACAATTTGTGGCCGACGTTAAAAAAGATTGTGGAATAGCTACAGATATCTTGAAAAATGTCAAGTTAAAGTTTGATAATGAATATTTGGCTGCATATCACTATAGAAAACACGGATTTGAGTTCGGAAATAAAATTTCAATGCATGTGTATCTTGCTGATATTCCAAAGGATCTATTTCAGAAACAGTATCTGTATAGCGATGTGTATGATCAAGCTGGAACGAGCAGGATTCAAATTTACGCGAATAAGGAAGGCTCGCAATTTGGAGTGTTGAAAATAAAAAATAATAATCCATACGTCGCAACGGTTTTTTCAAACCAAAAATTCTTCGAGAATTGGGAAACAAAATTGCCAATAGCCCAAGAATATTTAAATCTTACTACCCTTCACTATAACGATCCAACAATTCCGACAACTAGATTTTTCGATTTTTTCGGTTATAACCTATTAAAAGACATGGGCATAGTTATTGGCGATATACAAGTACATAAATGTAATACATCACAAAATTTGAACACGTTTGAGGGTAATTCTGAAGATATCAAGAATTTGAGAGAATTAGCCAATTTACTTACTATAATGACTCAAGCAGACAAAACTGATTAAACTTTACAATGTCAAAACTGCTAATATAAAAATTGTATATTTCAATAAATGCTTAAGCAATAAATTGTTTATTGCTTATGTATGTATGTATTTAATTACTGGTTCCCCGTAGAGTTACGTGAGCTTTCCTTTACTTCTTTGATACTTCCTCTTACATCCAATCCTCTTCTTCTACCTTTCTTTATTTAATTTTATTTACTGGAGATCCTCGTACATCTGCACGAAAAGAAACAGATATTTATGAATTTTTTACACTTTAAAATTTGATTACACTTTTGGGAGAAATACATATTCAGACACTTGAAAATCAATACAGGAGCAGAGCCAAAAAGGACCACCCTAAACAAGCTACGATTTTCACTGCCGAGACGTCCGCCATGTTTAGAGCCATGAATTCTATTCACTACAACATGTTCAAGTTGGCCATCTTTTCGATTTCCATGAGTGTGATTAAAATCTTAGCATCTATAGATAAGAAAAACTGCGAAATCATAAAGAACATGCAAGAGACTTATTCAAAAATCTTCAACAGGAACATATATCCGGTTCAATGAGAATTGGCAGGAAATATAAACAAAAGGTTCACGTGATCGATGCTGCGGCCGCAGATGAACTGTTCATCATGAATATCGCTATTCAGGGACGCTTTTTAGCAGTGGTGACTAACCACTTCAACCCAGTACTCCCGATTCCGAATGATGTCGGAGTCTTCGAGTAGATGCTCAATTATTTTCCTGCGGCCGTCTATTTTGTACGGTCCCCAAATATAATGGTGACTATTGAAGTCGCCCATTAGTATGAAGGGTGTTGGAAGTTGGTTTGTAAGCGCTTCTAAGTCAGTTGGGGTTATGGTATGGCTTTTCGGGAGGTAGATGTTCCATATGTGTATCTTGCTTGGAAGTAGTACTGTGACTGCGATTGTTTCTAGGTTTGTGTTTAACGGAATTTTGACGGCATTGAATTTTTCGGATACTGCGATGAGTACTCCCCCTCTCGCGTAATTATCGCAGTCTCTATTTTTGTTGAAGATAACGAACCCTTTGAGTCTTGGGAGGTGGTGTTTTTTGAGGTTTGTCTCTTGTAGGCAAATGATGGATGGGTTGTGTTGGTCAAGAAGGAGCTGAGTTGTTCGTATTGCGTGTAAAAGCTATTTATATTCCATTGAATAATATGTTTCCTTGTGGTTAAGAGGAGTCACTCTCTATTTCCGATGACCAGTTGGCGGCTGTTTTTGTTGAGGAGTTCTGGATTATTTTTTTGTGTAGTTTGTGTAGTCTATTTTTCATGCTACGTTCATTAAGCAAGGGATGGATTTTTAGAATCATTCCAGCTAAGACGAGAGTGTTGGTTGTGTATGTTTTTGAAATTTCTAAAGGGTTTGGGGCTGTGATTGAGTTTTCTAGGAAGCTTTTAAATTGTATATAACTTAGCACGTGGTTGTTTCCTTGGTCTTCAATGTAGTTTTTGGCTGGTTCCATCATGTCGTCGATTTCATCTAGCGAAAAGGCGGGTGATGGGGGCCGTTTTGTTATCTTAGAAACTGGTTCAGGGTTTCTATGGGGTTTTCTGGATATTGCGCCTGGTGATTTGAATTCAAGATCGCTTAGTTTTACTGGTTTTGTGTTACTTTCTTCTGGAGTTGTGAATAACTGTCTTTTGCTACTTATTTTATCTGCAATCGAGTTATCTAATCTTCTTACTGTTAGTTCTGTTGTGTTAGAGTCGTCTAGCGAGATTGGTTTCATGTGTTCAGGTGTATTTGGCATTTCTATTTCTAGTTCCGTTTCTTTCGTGGGATCATTTAACCGTAATAGCGTTGGCAGTGTGACTTTTTCGTGAACAGAAAAGCGTGTGGAACACGGTGAAGTGCGAGATCGATTATTGCGTGGGAGTGCGTACACGGTACGAAAGTGAGTAATTCGGTGCGGTTTTGGAAATTCGCGACGCGAACAGGCCAGAAGGGCGAATACTGTGTGGCGTGAGGTGCGAAATAAAGGAAGACCCGCTGAAGATGGCTGAAAAGGAGTTACCGGTACGATGCGGCGTGGAAGATCTCGAAGAACAACACGCGGACGAATATGGAGATCGTCGAGATACGCGATTTTTCCAAAATATGGGTCAAATACTACCCGAGTTCGACCCCGTCAAAAGCGATATCGACATCGAGCGATGGATCGACAAGGTGGAAGAGTATGGCGATCTCTACGCATGGGACGATGTGGCCATAAGACACTATGGTCTCTCAAAGTTAAGTGGAGTAGCTCGACGGTGGAGGGACAGTCTCCCTAGACAGGAGCGAACTTGGAGAGAATGGACGACGCTCCTTCGGGAAAATTTTCCAACCGATGTAAGTCCCTCGAGCGCGAGAGCGGAGGCGCAAAATTACCGTTGGCAGCGAAATCAGCATATCGTGGAGTACTACTATGAAAAACTAACCAGGTGCAACAAAGCGAAGATGGACGACCGGGAAACTATCGAATGGATCGTTGATGGACTCAATAATTTGCGATTCAAAGACTATCTAGGACCGTTAAGCAGGTATGAAAAACCATGTAAACTATTGCCTGATCTTAAAAGTGGTAGTGTTCATATTCGTGAGCCTGTAGAGACAAAGGGATTTCGAGATCGCGTTAGCACGATAAACACCGCTGGAGGTCAGTCCAACGGCGCGAAGTGTTTCAATTGTAAACAGCCAGGTCACACCGCTAGGGTGTGCCCACGACAAAAACCTGTCACGTGTTTCAAATGCGGCCGACAAGGACACTACTCGCGGAACTGTAAGTACATGTGAGCTGGCAACTGTCAATAAACAGGAGCGGACATCGATACCGATGGCCCCGGTGCCAACGACTCGCGGTCAGGTGATGCATGTTGATACTCATAATAAATATTTCAAAGATGCTTTTCTAAGCGGTAGGCGTACGAGATGCTACATCGACCTTGGCAGCAGCGCGGTCGCTGTACGAGAGGACGTAATGGACACACTAGGGATACCATACCGAAGACAAGAACTGAGGCCATTCGTCGGCTACGGCGGTGGGTTTGTTACACCCATCGGTACGTTCACGGCACCACTAGAAATTGATGGGGTGAAGGTCGAAGTGGACGCCCACGTCGTTCCGAAAGAATCGCAAGAAGTTCCAATGTTGGTAGGGCACCCCTTTAGAGAACATCCCCAGGTGAACATCCTAAGCACCAACAAAGAACTGCGTATAGCAGCGTCCGTGGACGAATTGGTTCGAGACACAGACGCTACGCCTGGAAGGGTAACGTTTCGAGCGCGGGACGACCAGGTGATACCAAATAATTATATTAGCTGCGTAGCGGTGACCGGCGCTCCTCCAAACCAGGAGCTGTGCGTCGAGGGGGGATTGCGACCCACCGGAACGGCTACACCGCGATGTATTGTTGAAACTGATACTGATGGGCGAACTGTAATTCCCGTTTTGAACATCACAGGTGAAGCTGTAACTGTCCGATCAGGGCAAAGAATTGCACGAGGCGAGCACTGCGAGAGGCGCGACGCTGACCGGCAAATCAACGTGGAACCGGTGCAGCTGGAAGAAATCGACACGGACGTATGCGGCGAAGATGCAGAGCGAGTCCTCCAGTTGCTGAACGACTACAGGGATCTCATCGCCAGGAACATATACCAAATTGGGTGTACCAACAAGGCAGAGATGAAGATCGAGACGCAGCATGACAAACCGATCTATTACAGCCCATATCGTTTGTCGTATCACGAACGGAACCAGTTGAAGGATGTCATCCACGAGCTGAAGGACGCCGGCATCATCGAGGACAGCGTCTCACCATTTGCGAGTCCGGTCCTGCTTGTAAGAAAACGTGACGGCGAAATAAGGGTATGCGTCGACTATCGTGCGTTAAATAAGATGACAGTTAAGGACAAATATCCACTACCGAGAATTGATGATCAGTTAGATAAACTTCAGGAAAATTCATATTTTACTAGTTTAGATTTATTTAGTGGCTATCATCAAGTACCTGTACATCCAAAATCGCGAGCAAAAACTGCCTTTGTAACGCCCGATGGTCACTACCAATTTCGAAGGATGCCTTTCGGTTTGTGCAATGCGCCATCTGTTTTCCAACGCCTAATCAACACGATATTAGGTAACTTAAAATACACCATAACTATGGCATATATTGATGATATTATAATACCATCCGTGAGCGTGGAGGACGGCTTAACAAAATTGCGCGTGATATTCGAAATACTCCGGGATGCAAATTTAACCATAAAATTAGAGAAATGTCATTTTCTTAAAACGCGGTTTCAATATTTAGGCTTCGAAATAACGAAAGGTATAATTCAGCCCAGTAGTGCAAAATTGCGAAGCATTGAAGCATTTCCTACACCGACAGATGCCCGATCAGTTAGAAGTTTCGTAGGGCTAGCCAACTATTTTCGACGGTTCGTAAAGAATTTCGCACTTATCATAAGCCCGATCACTGACCTATTAAAGAAGAACAGTGTGTTCCATTGGGGAGACGCACAGGAAGTAGCTTTCCAAGAGATAAAAAAGAAACTTTTATCAAAACCGATTCTTGCAATGTATAACCCGGCAGCCTCGACCGAAGTGCATACCGATGCATGTAGCGTAGGGCTTGGCGCAGTACTTTTACAGGAGCAACAAAATAAACAGCTGCACCCTAGAAGCTACTATAGTCGCAAAACCACTGTGGAAGAATCTCGCTATCACTCGTATGAGCTCGAAGCTCTAGCCGTCGTGTGTGCATTAGAAAAATATCGCGTGTACCTATTGGGAATTGAATTTGTCATACGCACGGATTGCAATAGCCTTAAATTGTTAGAGCACAAACGGGAGCTAAACCCTAGAATTGGTCGTTGGTTCGTAAGACTGTCAGAATTTAATTATAGAGTAGAGTACCATACCGCCAAGCAGAACATCATAGCAGATTCTCTGAGCCGCAACCCCGTCGAACCAAGCGAAACTATACAACCGATAGGACTTCCAATC